AGGAAGTTGCGGTCGCGCAAGCTCTGCTCGACGGAATCTGGTCGACGAGCTCTGCGCGACGAGCTATGGCTGACGATCTCTGCGCGACGATCTCCTGTCAAAGAGCGCTGGTCGAAGAACTCTGGTCGAAGAGTTCTGGTCGAGAAGCTCTGCTCGGCGAACGCTGTTCGTCCGAGCGATGTCGAGCTGATCGACCGAAGTTGCAGAGTTGTGCGAAACTCTGCGAAGGCGTGCGAACTTTCGCCCAGGAGATTTTGGCGAAGTTCTACCTGCGGAACGGCATCACGTGGTCGACGGTGCGCACCTGGCGAAACCGACGACACGTTTTCTACCTGGCACCTGCGCAATGTGCCTAACGGTGAAACCGCCAACCTGCACCTACTTGGTAGGTGCGCACATCTGCGCAGATAGACAACCTGCGACTGCAGATAGTTACCTACGACTGCAGATAGTCATCTGCAACTGCAGTGCTGGCAGACCGCGCGCAGTGCAACGCTGGCAGACTACTCTGCTGCAGCGTTGGCAAGCCGCTCTTCTGCTGCGCTGGCAGATTTCGCCCTTGCTAGGTGTTGCATGCCATTGTAGTTATATCATTCTGCACGCCTCAATTGTACTCTAACTTTTTCAATGTTCTTTCAACTTCCTTAGTGGAAACTATTGTCAACCTTCAACTTTCTTTTGCAAGTAGTAAGAGTTGTAGCAGAGCACTACGAGCACTCGCACAACCCCGTGTCCTCCTCCGTAGTCCACTCCCGTTGTGTAGTGACTCTCCGCATGGTGCGGTGAGCGTGGACGGCCCCGCGTTAGAACCTTCAGATTAGCCGACATTTTCGTTCATTACTTAAGTTGTTGTAGGCCGGCAGCCGTCTAGACCGCCATGGTCGACCAGGAGGTCGTTGCAGGTGTAGAAGACACCCTGCAGACACGGTTAGATGACGTTCAGGCACGCCACGCAGCTGGCGAGTACGGCGGAGCGAACTTGGATGTTATGCTCTTTGGAACCCGCGTGCAGTGGGCGCGCGATCATCCAACGACCCGTACTGAGGCGGATGGTCTGCCCGCCACTCCCCGACTGGCACGTCTAGGGTTGTAACGAAGGTGACGTCGACGACCAGGTCGACGGTGGTAACCAAGTCGGCAGTGAAGGAGGCACGAAGATGACCCGTGGAGTGATTGGGGCAGCCGATGGCGGTGTCGGCGGAGTGCAGGCGCGAGGACAGCGTTCGGCGGCAGCAGGAAGCTCGAACGACAACACCGACGGTCGACGACGTTCTCCTGAGCGGAGTGGAGTCGGGCCGACTTCGGCGATTCATGCGTCGGCTGGTCGAGACGGAGGCATCGCGCCGGCGTATGGCTACTTCAAATTTTCGCCGGACAAGATCGTTGTGCCGAAGCCGCTCGAAGGTCGGCACGACTTGATCACGTGGACGGAGTCTATCGAACCGCAGCTGGAGATCGCCGGATTGAAGAAGTTCGTTGACGGAGATGTGTTGGCGCCGGACGAGGAGGAGGTCGAGCTCTGGTCGGAATTTCGCGCTGCTCACCTTCTGACCTTCATGGTCATTTCGAGGTGCTGCTCGCCGCTGGTGCAAGTCGCACTGAAGCCGTGCAGACTTCGGGTGGATGCTGGCTACCAAGCGTGGCAGTACATCATGCGTATATACAAGGCGACCGACGATCTCTACATCAGCCAACTGGAGCAGCGGCTGACGAACACCAAGACGGGCGAGCAAGAATCTGCGACCGAGTACTGCAACCGCGCTCGGCAAATTTTGGCCGAACTGCGAATGGCTGGCGTCACCTACTCTACAGCTTCCTATATTACGCACGTTCTCAAAGGTTTGCCGCCGGGCTACAATTTGATGCGCCGGATGCGCGCGATGCGTGGCGTGCGTGAGTCGCTCAACGAGGACACGCTGTCGAGCCAGATCATCAACGACGAGTTCATGCAGGAGTCCGAGAGGCCCGTAGAACTGCTTCCGCAGGCCAACTACGATGCCCCGACGAAGCAGGGACGCCAACAGGGACAGCGTGGGAAATCTGCCGGAGGCGGTGGTGGGAAGTCGTCGAACGTGAAATCGACGGAGGGCACCGACCGCGGAAAGTCGGCGAAGGGAGGTGATCGCGGTAGCGGTGGCTCGCGTCGAGAAGGACGTCGCTGCTACATCTGCGATGCTCCCGACCACCTCTCGTACGACTGCCCCGACAGAGACGAGTCTGATGACGACCGGGACGCCAACCGTAGGAAGGGAGAAGGTGGCCGTCGTCGTCAGAACAACCAGCCGCGCAAGGAGAAGCAGCCGTCGAAGACGTCTTCGACGAAGGATGCCGACTCCCCTGGCGGCAATGCTCGTGGCGAGGAGGCTTCGTGCTCGATGGTCAGCGTGGTGGAGCCGACGATCTCGCTGGCGCTGGAGGCTGGCGAAGATTTCAAGGCGGTCGCTGCTGCAGTGCAGGCCAATCTGACTTTTGTGCTGCTCGACAGTGGCTGCTCCCATCATCTGATGGGAACGCGGGAGGCCTTCGTCGACATGCAGCCGCAGACGTCTGCAGCTTCAACGGGGCACTTCAGAGCGTCGAAGGCAGAGGCACCGTTGCTCTGCAAGGGGAGGCCGGGAAGCAGGTCCTCATCCCCGACGTACTCTACATTCCGGGTGTGCACGCGAACCTGCTGTCTGCTGGCCAGCTCAAGGAGAACGGCGTGAAGTTCCAGGACGATGGCGGAGAGATGCTGCTGGTGCCTTATGCCGGCGATGTCCTCGGTCGAGCACGCTACTCTGGCAGAATTCTCTGCACCGACCTGCGCCCCTGCTCGACGAAGTCGACGGCGACTTCGACGGAGGTGGTGGTTCTGCGAACGCTCGCGTCAGCGACGAAGTTGACCCCGAACATGTTGCACGCACGGCTTGCGCACGTCGGCGTCGACACGATCAAGAGCTCAGCGAAAGATGAGGCCGTCGCCGGTCTGGACATCAAGAAGTCGACCGTAGCTGATCTGCCGTGTGCCTCCTGCGTCGGCGGCAAGCTTGCACGGCACACCTTCCCAGACCAAGGAACGGACGCCAAGAATGAGCTTGATGTGGTGCACATCGACCTCTGCGGACCATTTCGGATGGCCGCCACCGATGACAGCCTCTACTTTCTTCTGCTAAAGGATCGGAAGACTCGCTACGTATGGGTGAGGCCGATCGCGAAGAAAGGCGACGTGCTGGTCGTCTTCGAAAAGTGGCTGAAGGAGGTGGAGCGGCAGACGTCGAAGACGGTGAAGAAGTTGCGTTCGGACCGCGGAGGGGAGTTCCTCGGTCGCGCCTTCACCGACCTCGTCGAGGACAAGGGAATCCTCCACAATCTGACGTGCCCCTACACTCCGCAGCAGAACGGGATGGCCGTGCGAGAGATGCGCACGGTGGTCGAGGCCGTGCGTACGATGCTTCTGCACATGGGCGTGAAGCATCACTGGTGGCACCTCGCTCTGCGACAGGCCGTCTGGGTGCGCAACTGCCTCGAACGGGCTTCTCTACCTTCGGGGACGACGCTGCACGAGCTGCTGTTCAAGGAGAAGCCGGACCTGACGCTGGCGCGCGTCTGGGGCTGCATGGTGCAGTTTTGGTCCCCGAGCAGCAGCGCGGCGGGAAGCTTGCGCCGAAGGCTCGTTGGGGTCTTCACCTCTGAATGTTGTCAGAGACCAAGGGGTGGGAGGTGCTCGACCTGACAGACAACAAAATCGTCACGACGATCGAAGCGATCTTTTACGAAAATCTGTCGATGAAGATGTGGAAGGCAGAGTACGGGTCGGCGTCAACGAGGACGCCGTCTGCCCCACCGCCAAATTCCTCCCCGGAGATGCCTCCTCTGCTCGCCGACATCGACGAGCATGATGACGAGGACGTAGAAGAAGTCCCCCTCCCTCCTCCTGTTGTGCCCTCGTCGGCCGCCGGCGATGAGGGGAGACTTGGTGCGTCGCCTACGGTGCCGACCGGTTGCATCGCCGGTGGCCGACGTGACGCCGAGAAGGTCGGCGACGGGAAGCGGCCGACGACAGGGGAGCTGTCGGCGTCGAAACCGACTTCAGCGAAGCCGTCGGCAGAAGCGACACCTGCAGAAAAGTCGCTGACAGAGGCGCCACCTGCAGGCGTGGCCCCTCGAGCAATTATCACTGAATTTGATGGCCACGTGGGCAAGAACGAATCACGAGACAGGGTTCTGGGGCAATTCTCTCAGGGCGGGGTGCATCATGCAGTTTTTCAGGATCGCGATCCCAAGCGATCCTTGTTACAGTGTTTTGTCTTTTGCGTACAGTACTTACTGTAGCGTTGCTGCACCACGACCCTGGGGGATCGCAAAAACTGCCACTCAACCACCCTCGATCACGCTGGATCTGAGAGCCTGCGATCCCACGCGATCAAGGGTTGAAGGTGCACCACGTGCACACCGATCCTTGTTCGCGAGAAATATTTTGTCGCCTGACGACCAAACGAAACGTAAGCGAGGTAAGAACTAAAACATTACGAAATCAACCCTGAAACCACACTGTAGATGCGACGCCTCGACCGCGTCTGATTGGTGGTTGGGGATCGTGACTACAAAATTGCGGGTGGTGTATCATGGGAGGGCGCCGTTGGGTTGCATGGGACCTCGAGCACGCCCAATCCACCGGATTCCACAGGGTTGCGGTGCTAGCATCGCGATCAGGGGGCGATCATGCAAATTCAGCATGATGCACCCCGCCCTCACCCCCCTGGTTGCCAAACATCGCCTTGGAGGAAACTTGAGGGCTCAAAACAACTCGCTATAAGCAGAACCCAGGGATAACCCTCACCCATTTCTCCTCTCCACTCGTCACTTCTTTCCACATCAGCTCGCGCAAACATCACCGCTTGCTTACGTCACGTCCGTTCCTGTTCGCCTCGTCATCGGCCTCCGTTCAGGCAAACACATAGCCTCATAGCGCATACCTAAGCGCCCGCTACCGCTACCAGCCCACGCCAGTCCACGTCAGCATGTCTCTCGCAGTTAGACAGAGCACCGCAGCGGCTTTGCTCTCCGCGAGCCCCTGCCACTCGCAGAACGACTGCGTCGAGCGAGCTTCCGTGAATCTCTCCGCATCTGCCGCGCCATGGCAGAGGCACAACGGGCTGCGAATGGTATCGACGGCTGGAGGCGAACGGGGAGTTGCTTATACGCAATCGAATCAACGGACGCGATCGCATAAGGTCCGGGACATGCAACATGGCTAGAGCACATTGGATAGCGCAATGTTGGCGGTTGCCGGGGAACGTGCTTAACTGAAAATGCACTCAGCAGTTGCTTGGCGGGAAAGGCGGCGAATGAGCGAGCGGCCATAATGCTGACTCAAACACGCGCGAGAAAGAAACTACTCAGCAAGCACTCCGTGCAGTTTCGCCGCACCTTGCGCTGGGTCGCTGTGGCTCGTTGCCTCTCATCCACCTCGCCATCGCACACCCTCCGCTAATTCACCCCCGAGTTCTTTCTCCCCGCTCCCAATCCTACTAGGGTCCACCTCCCGTATCCCTCTCCTATGCCTCCCCCCCACGCTCCTGCCCCTGCAGCGCGCGCAGGCGCTGGCAGCGGTGTCGACGGCGTCGGAGCAGGCGGCCGGGGGGGGGACGGCGCTGCGGCCGCTGCGAGTGATGATCTCGGGCGCGCCCGCGTCGGGCAAGGGCACGCAGTGCGAACTCATCGTGCAGAAGGTGGGCTCCGCGCGCAGGGGTGCGGGAGGGAGGGGGGGGGGGAGCAGGGGGAGCGGGCGGGCAGGTAAGAGGGGAAAATGGGGGAAAGATGAAAGAAGGCAGTGGCAAGAAGTGAAGGAGATTTGGGTGGAAACAAAGGTCGCGAGCGGAGCGAGGAGAGGATGTGCTCAACACACTCGTTCTTCCACAAAAGAAAATGCTCATTGGCGTTCTTTCTCCCTGCCTTCGACCACCCGCCCCTTCCCCCCCCTCCTCGCACCTCTGTATTACCTCTCTCACACGCCCGTGCGCGTCCCCCTGGCCCCTGGCCCCGTGTCCCATGTCCCATGCCCCATGCCCCTCTGCTCCCACTCCCCCCTCTCTGGTGCTGGTGCTGGTGCGCGTGGGCAGTACGGGCTGACGCACATCAGTGCGGGCGATCTGCTGCGCGCGGAGGTGGCGGCGGGCACGGAGGGCGGGCGGCAGGCCAAGGCGCACATGGACGCGGGGCGCCTCGTGCCCGATGACGTTGTCGTCACGGTGGGTGGGGGTTGCGGAAGGGGGGGAGGAGGTGGGTAGGAGGGTGGGTGGATGCGTAGGAAATGCGTGGGTGGGTGGGGAGGGGGGCCCCTGGGTGGTGAGTGGGGGGGTGGGTTGGAGGGGTACATGCCCACTGCGCACCGCTGCTGCTCGCGCCTTGCTTGTGGTCCTCGCCTCTCCCCGCCTCTAGCCCCCAGTCCTCACTTTTGGCTTGGTTCGTTCTTGCAGAGAGTAGGGTACCTGCAGCAGCAGCAGTTTCGAATCCGCATACTGCTCATCCCTGTTTGTGTGCGACCCTGTGTGTGCGACCCTGTGTGTACGACCCTGTGTGTGCGACCCTGTGTGTACGACCCTGTATGTACGACCCTGTGTGTACGACCCTGTGTGTACGACCCTGTGTGTACGACCCTGTGTGTGCGACCCTGTGTGTACGACCCTGTGTGTACGACCCTGTGTGTGCGACCCTGTGTGTGCGACCCTGTGTGTACGACCCTGTGTGTACGACCCTGTGTGTACGACCCTGTGTGTACGACCCTGTGTGTACGACCCTGTGTGTACGATCATGTGTGTACGACCCTGTGTGTGCGACCCTGTGTGTACGACCCTGTGTGTGCGACCCTGCGTGTGCGACCCTGCGTGTACGACCCTGTGTGTGCGACTGTGTGTGTGCGACCGTGTGTGTGCGACCCTGTGTGTACGACCCTGCGTGTACGACCCTGCGTGTACGACCCTGCGTGTACAACCCTGTGTGTACGACCCTGTGTGTACGACCCTGTGTGTACGACCCTGTGTGTGCGACCCTGTGTGTGCGACCCTGTGTGTACGACCCTGTGTGTACGACCCTGCGTGTACGACCCTGTGTGTGCGACCTGTGCATGGCCCTGGGAGCAGATAGTGAGGAACCGGCTGGCGCAGGAGGATGCGGCGAGCAGGGGGTGGCTGCTGGACGGCTATCCGCGCAGCCTGTCCCAAGCGCAGGCGCTGCTGGCGCTCGACATCTCGCCGGACGTCTTCATCCTCCTCGACGTGCGCCCTAACCCTGCTTCTGACCGCCTTCCCGCTTGTGTTTCCATTTCTGTCTGTTCTGTCTCTGCTGCCCCAGCTTTGTGTGCTGGGCGTGTTGGCGATAAGCATTGACGCACTGCATTGCTGATGAACAGCCCTTCACGACAGCCCTGCCGTATGCACTCCAGACTCACTCACCTACCCACCTGTCAGCTGCACCCACTTGTATCATGCCAGCTGCCTCTCACATCACATGCCCCCTCTGCATTCATGGTGCCTCCAGCTGAACTGGTCTCTGGGCTGTTGCGCTGACCGTGAATGCTGCACATGGTCATGCCCCCCATCCTCCCCGCTCGCCCACATTCCTGCCTCGATGCTCCAGTGCCCCAGACCATCCCATACGAGAGGGCGGAGGAGAGAGCTACACCGTCTGAGAGCCAACCCACACCCTCATTTCTTCCGTCCTCTTATCCCTTCCCCCTCTCACCCCCCCCTTCCACTGCTTTGTTTCCTCCCTCCCCCCTCTCTGCATGAACATGCGTGCAGGTGCCCCTTGAGATCCTGGTGGAGCGCGTGGTGGGGCGGCGCCTGGACCCCGCCACCAACCGCATCTACCACCTCTCCTTCTCACCGCCCGAAACAGAGGAAATCGCTGCCCGCCTCACCCAGCGCAGTGACGACACCGAGGAGAAGGTGAGGAATCGGAGGGAGGGGAGAGGTGATGACACTGGGGAGAAGCTTGTGGGAGGGTGGGATGGGTTGTGGGGACGTTCACCTGCCCGTGGGCTGCTGTGTGCTGCCTGTTGCCAGTCCTCTTGTGGTCTCACTTGCTCTGCCCACTCCCCACATCCTGCTCCACACTCCTACTATCACTATCGTGCATGTCTGGTGTGCTGAGTCTGTGCCTGACCATGCCTTGCTCCTCGTCGCCTCACCTGCTGCCGTGTGTGCGGGGACTGGCTCGTGTGTGGTGCGAGCATGGCACGGCATGGGGGCAGGTGAAGGCGCGGCTGGAGACGCACAATGCCAACGTGGCCAGCGTGCTCGACATCTACGCCGGCAAGCTCGTGCAGGTCAGACCCGGTGCAGAGTGGTGCAGGTGAGACCCTGTGCAGAGTGGTGCAAGTGAAGCGCGGTGCTGAGTGGTGTTGAAGAGGCAAATGGGAATGTGGAGGTGAGAGGGGGACTTTGAGGCATGGAGTGAATGAGAATGCAGAGCATGGGATGGCAGCATGTGGAGTGGGTTACAGTGGATAGATGATGGATGTGTGGCGTGGCACTGGGATGACAATGCCCAAAGGATAGTTCTGCCAAGCATCACAGCCATGCCAAGCATCACAGCCATGCACATGCTCTTCCCCTTCAAACTTAGTCCCACCCACTCCACAACTGCACGTTCTGCCTTTCACCCATACACCAACTCCCCTTCATCATGCATCCCCTTTATGTGCACCCCCCTCCACTGCACCCCCTTCCACCATCCAACCCATGCCATGGTGGGCGGGGAGCAGGTGAACGGGCACCGCTCCAAGGATGAGGTGTTTGGTGACATTGATGACATTCTCACTAGTCTGCAACATGGCCAGCTCTCTTTTGACTAGATCCACCCAGGCTCATGTAGCCGGTAGTGTAGATGTGTTTGTATTTTTATTGCATGAATCGTCTCTTTTTAGGCAACAGCTAGTATTACTAGTTTTTTAGGGCTCCAGCTAAGGTCAACTCACTACTTATCTTCTAAACATTGAATACACGAGTTGGTATGGCCTGACATGGCACTGCTGTCATTGTGCTGACTTACCCCGCCCCACCACTCTGTAGGACAGGCATGAGTGGCAGTGGTAGAGGTGTGGTGCAGCTGTTGGTACGGAATGAGGCATGTCGTTGGACCCCACATTCGTAACAGTGGCGGTCGCGCCTGGTTCTCCCCACCCACCCTCAGCTGCTGCATCCACGAGCACACTTGGAAGTAGTGGGAGCAGATGGAAGCAGGTACGAACAGGGCGGGTCACCTGCCCTGGGAGGCGAGCCACTGCTGTTTGGTCATGGGGCGCAGGAAGCCAGTGGCCTTCTCCTTGCTGATGCTCGTGAACGCCCCCCCGTAGTCATGCCCCGGGTACACCCTGCACCACCCAGCCCAGGAGAGGACACAGGACAAGGAAGCTTGCAGAGGAGCAGCAGGTGGACATGCGGAAGCAACGCGGGGAGGGCGTACAGTTTGAAGGGCAAGGAAGACTCGGACTGGAAAGGGACTTGTAGACTTGAACACTCGCATCCACCTCACCTGGTGTTGTCGGGTGGCAGCACTGCTCTCACCTGGTGTTGTCGGGTGGCAGCACTGCTCTCACCTGGTGTTGTCGGGTGGCAGCACTGCTCTCACCTGGTGTCAGGCGGCAGAGCAGCGAGCTTCTGCAGGCTGTCATACATGGCCTCGCGGTTGCAGTCTGGTAGGTCCAGCCGCCCACAGCTGTGACGGGCGGCAGAGTGGACGGGTGGGGCATGCAGAGTGGACAGGTGGGGCATGCAGAGTGGGGTGAGGCGCAAGGGGAGTGATGTACGTGGTGGCTTGATGAAACAGTGATGCGAAACAGGAGAGAGAAAGGTGATTTAATGTAGTGTGGAAGATGGAGGGTTGGAAGCACAAGCAGAGAAACAACGATCGGGTTGAATGAGGGCAAGCAGAGATGCTTGAGAAAAGCCCTGAATCTCCATGGTAGAAATCCGCCTTGGCCTCACACTCTTGCTCTGCCTGGCCCGCCACTCCACCCAGCATGCATGGCTCACTTACCCATCATGGTGTGGAGTGATGTGATGTGGAGTGGATTGGAGTGGAGAGGAACAGAGTGGTTGAGTGGAATGAAGAGGATTGTTAATCTAAAGCTCGTGCATTAAGCGGCCTGAGGATTATGGTGGCCCCGCTGCTGACATGTGCTGATGCACGTGATAGCAGACGCACCTCCCAATAAAAAGAGTGTCTCCTGATATTAGAACACCATCATCATGGCCCGGCGCTCTGCAGGTAGCAAGGAGAAAGAATGCAGCAAAGTTGGAAGGATGGCCAATTAGAAGGCGACGACACACGGACTGAGTTGGGCACACTGATTATGCACGGTGACATGACAGTGCGGAGTGGGGGGTTGTGAATGACAAAAAGGACATGTGGTTGGCAGGATGACAGCATATGCACGCGGGTGAAGCTCCTCTAAAGGCCATGAGTGATTCACATCCTCATGGCCTTCCACATGCACGCAACGTGCTGCCTTCCAGGGGTCACGTGCATGCGTCACGCAGACAGCATAAGACCGTCAGCCCTGTAGCGGTAGAGAAGGCATGTGTCATGATGTGTGCATGCATCAATGGTGCACCCATGTGCACCCATGTGCACCCATGTGCATCCAACACAGTGCACCGCCCATGCAAGCATGCATGTTGGGCCGAGTGTGCTAAAACATGGGCGTCATGGTCGCCATGCAGATGGGTGCGGCATGCACATGCATGTGTAACATGCTCGAACAATTTTTTTTTGTGCATAAAATCATTTTTACGCATCTTGCACATTCATGTCAGAATGCACGCATCTCACACCGTTCAATGTGGATGCACTGGCTGCCAGGTGTGTGGCCGGGTGTGTGGATGAACCGCAGAGACACCGCCCCCACCTCTATCGTCGCCCCATCCTGCCCTCGCCATCGCCAACCACAAGCACGAACAGAAGAAGACACAAGCCAGGCAGGAAAATAGAACAAGGACAGTACTAAGGAATGCTGCACCATGTGAGGGGAGGTATAAACATAGAGCCAAACACCCTTACACCAGAGATAGCGGGAGGGAAGAGATTTTGGGAAGATGGATGGTGCTGCCAGCTCAAATGCCTATTTGCATCACGCCAGCTGTGGCATGACCACACATTGACAAATAATTGAACCCTACCACACCTCCACCATACCTCCACCATACCTCCACCATACCTCCACCATACCTCCACCATACCTCCACCATACCTCCACAACACCTCCACCATACCTCCACCATTCCTCCACAACACCTCCACCATACCTCCACCACACCCCCACCATACCTCCGCCTTACCTTCACCATACCTCCACATACCTCCACATACCTCCACCATACCTCCACATACCTCCACCATACCTCTCCACCACCTCTCCACCATACCTCCGCCATACCTGGACCTCCACAATGGAGTCGCTGGGAACGCCATTCTTGGATCGCAGCACCGCCGCATCGTGCTTGTTGGCATACACCTGTGGGTACGGCAGTAGGGGGACGGGGGAACGCCAGTAGGGGGACAGAGGGACGCCAGTAGGGGGACAGAGGGACGCCAGTAGGGGGACAGAGGGACGGCAGTAGGGGGACAGGGGGATGGCAGTAGGGGGACAGGGGGACCGCAGTAGGGGGACAGGGGGACCGCAGTAGGGGGACAGGGGGATGGCAGTAGGGGGACAGGGGGATGGTGGAAGCGGGGTCAGCGGACGGCAGGTGAAGCGGAAAGCGGGCAGTCATGCGAGAGCAACACCATTTCCGGAAGACAGTCAACCGACAGTCACCAACAAGAGAGTCAGATTGTGGAGTCCGGTGGCACACCCTTTGAGGCACGACGATACATGCATGCACCCACAGACTCACACATGTCCCCTGCCATGGAACCTTGCCCCTCGACTGCGCCAGGGCCAAGCCCCTCACAGCAAACACCGCGCTCTCACTCGGTGAGAGGCAGGGCAGCAGACCTTGAGGCCGTGCGTGGCAGCGAGCTCCCTGATCCCCGGCACCTTGATGCCCAGCGCGTCAAATGGGGGCGGCGGCATGCCACCCGTGTGGTCAAAGTGGTAGTGCGTTACCACCGCGCCCACCTGGAGGCAGGAGGGTGCGTGCGTTAGGGGCCACGGGCAAGGCGCAAGGGATGAGAGAAAGAGTGAAATGTTTCGTGTTGTATTGGAAGCCAAGGGGGCGAGAGCAGAAGGAGATGCGACAGCGTGCGGAGAAAAGGGCAGTGTAGCTCCACACCACACCACACCACACCACACCACACCACACCACAGTGGCACATGCTCCGGAGGGGTATGTCACGCAGTCCTGGATGGAAACTGCCAGGCTCGAACCAGAGGACTCGTCAGTAGCGGACAGGTGGGACTTGTCCTGTTGTTCTTAGAACATGGATTAAGAGACCTGGCAACAACTGTGAGGCTGGAAGGAAAATGGTCATGGGCACGCAACGGCACAGCATGCCACGCCACATCAAACCACACCATCCCATGCGATGCCATGCCACACCCAGGGTTAGAGCATTCACCAGCTTCACTCTCTCTGCCTCTGCATATCGCAGAATGCCCTGCAACGCAAAGCGAGGGGCGAGGCGAGGAGAGGCAAGGCGAGGCGAGGAAGGGGAGGCACAGAGGCGCATGATATGAGGAAGGGGGGTGGGTTGGAAGACATGACACAATGGCACACAGAGAGACAATGGGGAGTGCGGGTGAGGGGGATGGAGAAGGAGCCATGTATGGGGTTGTGACGAATTCATGTGCAGGTAATGGGCAGCATGGCATAGTGGGCAACGGCATAGAAAGTGCACAGGCCACTGCGAGTGGTGAGCAAGAGTTGTAATTACATGGTCATATGGACACACAGCAAGCCTCTGCACAGCACTCACCAGAGCAGCAGAGCAGCAATGCAGCTCACCTCGACGTCCCATGCGCCATCCACGACAACAGCCTCTCTGGAGTGCGCATCGCCAATGAGGTAGATGAAGTTGCGCATCTGCTGTGCACTGCGGTATATCTGCGCGCATGCATGGGCGATGGGGGGTGGGGATGTAGACAAGGGATGACAAGAGACGTTGATGACTGGTGAGGGAATGGGTGTGTCTGAAAAGGTGAGTGCATGGCCATCGGGAGGAGGAAAGGGAGGTGGAGTGTACATGGTTGAAGGTGTGTTTGTGGTCAGTGGTCACACACACATGGGCGGAAGCAAAGAGGGCGCACCTGGGCAGGGAGGGAGGGCGCACCTGGGCAGGGAGGGAGGGCGCACCTGGGCAGGGAGGGAGGGCGCACCTGGGACTCGATGACATTGCGGCCTCTGCCCACACAGAACTCGCGCCCCGCGAACATCTGCCATGCAGGGAGGCGGACACAGGCATGGAAGGATGGTGCTCATGCCCTTCATTATGCCCCCGGCACCACACTGCATAGGACTGCACGGCAGTGCAATGCATGGACGGAGCATGGATGTGACTGGTGCATGGCATGTGTGTGAACAGTGAGTGCACCTACTTAGCATGAGCACAGTGAGTGCTCATGGTGCTTGGCATGTGAGGGCCGGGGAATGCGCGGCACATGCATGGCATGAGTGAGAGGCAGGGCGTGTGTCACCTGGCGAAGCAGGAAGCCCTGCTGAGCCTCCAGCGCCAACAGCAGACACTGCTTCACCGTCGCATCGTCTGGCGCCTGCTCCACATGGCCACAGGCAAGGGGGGCGATGGGGGCCCAAGGGCTTGACGCGACGTTGGGCAAGCAACACGTGTCTGTGCACTGCCTAATAATGCAGCGGGAGGTGAAGGGGCGGCAGGTGAAGGAGTTGGGAGACTATGGGGAGAAAGAGGTGCATGCTCATAACAGTGGGGGGAAAGAGGTGCATGCTCATAACAGTGGGGGGAAAGAGGTGCATGCTCATAACAGTGGGGGGAAAGGGGGGGAGCATCCGGATGAGTCAAGAGCAGCAGCGAGCACTGCAGGCAGCCCAGTTAGGCCCACCAAAAAGCGTGTGGCACTAACGTTTGACTTGATTGCTAAGAGTGTAGACCCAAAAGCACCGGAATCCGTTTCACTTGGGGAAGAAAGTTAAGCACAGCGCATATTGCATGGCACAAGGCACGCAGCAGTGCATGGGAGCAGCTCAGCTCACCCGGTCTAGTGCCTGCCGGTACGCCTCCTCCGCCTCGTCGTACCGCTGCAATGCAAACAGCGCCTCGCCCTTTCGGAACCAGCCCTGGGGAAGAGGGGGATTCATGGAACGCGGAGGGGGGTTGATGGGGCGAGGAGGGGGTTGATGGCTCAAAGCGCGCATCCACACATGCATGTGTGCATGGGAAGCTGCATGTGTGCATGGGAAGCTGCATGTGTGCATGGGAAGCAGCATGTGTGCATGGGAAGCAGCATGTGTGCATGGGAAGCTGCATGTGTATGGGTGGTGGGTGCGTGTCATTTCCATCCCTGTGCCTCGCCCCTCTCACTCCCTGCTCGGCTGAACACCACCCTTCGCCTCCACCGTCCATCCCCCCACCGTCCATCCCCCCACCGTTCATCCCCCCACCGTCCATCCCCCCACCGTTCATCCCCCCACCGTCCATCCCCCCACCGTCCATCCCCCCACCGTCCATCCCCCCACCGTCCATCCCCCCACCGTCCATCCCCCCACCGTCCATCCCCCCACCGTCCATCCCCCCACCGTCCATCCATCCCCCACTATCCATTCCCCCACAATCCATTCCCCCACCATCCATCCCCCCACAATCCATTCCCCCACCATCATCCCCCACCATCCTTCCAAAACCACTTCAACCTACCCCTCCCCGCCCTGCACCCTGTTGTCCCCCTCAACCGCCCCCTACTTGCCCCTGCTTTCTCTGCCTCCCCGCTCCTCACCCTCAAACCCAGCCCTCCCGCACCTCTCCCCCTCACCGCAACCCACCTTGTTCCACTCTTCCCGCAGCTCTGTGCACTGCTGCGCCGCCTCCAGCGCCTGGGGGGCATGCGGCCAGGGGAAGTGCGAATGGAGGGGGGAAGAGAGGGATGCGGGGTTGAGAGGAAGGCGGGGGAGAAGGTGTGGAGGAAGGGAAAAAGGTGGTTGAGGGGAAGGGGGGGATTGGGTGAAAGGGGGGATGAGGAGAATTACGGCGGGGGGATGGGGAGAGGGTGGGGCGGGGGAAACGAAGAGTCTTGGGAAAGGAATGGAGAGAGAGGCAAGAAAAGAGGGATGGCTGAAAGCAAGCTCAGGCGCACCGGGCCCCCCATCCTCCCCACCCTTCCTGTCCTCCTCCATCCTCTTCCCCCTCCCCCTCCCCCGACCCCCCCATTCTCCCCCCGTCAACCTCCTCGCGGTGCCCCAGTTTGAGCAGCGAGCACGACAGGTTGCTGTGCAGCGACGCCGTCTCGCGCGGCGCCTCGCCGCTCTCCGCGGCGGCCTCGAGCGCGCGCCGGTAGGCGAGCGCGGCGGCGGAGAACTGCCCCTTCTTGAACGCCTCGTTGCCCTTCTGCTTCAGCGCCTCCATGCCGCCCGCACGCGCCCGCACGCGGTAACACGTGGCCGCACGTCGATGCCACGCGATGCCGCCAATACTGCGGCGAGTTGAATGGATGGCGTTGAGTGTAGCGAATGCCTGTTGGTTTTCGACAGTTTCGTGTGTTTCCTGAGGGGAGTTTGAAAGCGAAAAGCACCGATAATAAAGCAATGGTGCACATTCTTGGGGGTGGTTTTTGGAGGCATTGTTGCGTTCACCCTTTGACACGGTCTGAGGGCGCGTCCCCGCCCTCGATCGATCGCGAGATTGCTGTGACAAACCGATCGGGCACACCGATCGCAGGATTGGGGCGGGATTGGTAGGAGGTGACACTCGCGGATCGATCTCGAGCCGAGGGTGACAGGATCGAAAATATTCGGGGGAAAAACTCTCGATCCTACAAAAGCCGAGATAACAACAACCCACGGACTCTCGCAGCCCGTGGGTTTACATCTAGAAAGCTTCGGTACCGCATTTCCACACATAAACTAAGCGTGCATTCCCTATCGACACGACGATAGAGCGCGGAGGGTAGAATTTCCGCCCCCCCACGCGTACACGCAAGCCTCGTCGTATGTTGCTGGCGATATCGCGGTTAGCTCGCGAAGTCATAAACAAATCGCGCATCGTTCTCCAGTCATCGCTGCCTTATCCTCGAGTCGCCACCTCGCAACCGCCTCCCCAACTCCCGAGTTTCCTAGCCTCCACAGCCTCTCGCCTCCCGGCTGCTTCGCGCCCTGGTCGTGCGACCTCCAGTGCCGCCTCGCCTCGTCATCGGCGCATCGCCGCCATATCGCCGCCTCTCCGCTGCGCCTACTCATCACCGCCAAATCGCCGCCTCGCCCACTCGCCTTCTTTTCGGCGCGCCATCTCCTCGTCGCCGCCTGCCGCATCGTCTTCGCCTCTACCGCCGCCTCGTCGCCTCGAGGGACGAAACCCTTTCCCTTGTCCTTTCCCTGCTCTCGTTCCCTTCCCTGGAGAGAGGAGGACGGTTTCGTCCCTGGAGACGAAACCCCTGTCCCGTCCTCCCATCTGTCCCCCAGGTCGCACTTCCCCTTCCCCCCAGGTCGCACCTTTCCTTTCCCCTAGGTCGCACTTCCCTTCCCCCTTTCCCCCAGGTCGCACCTCCCTGTTCCCCTTTACAGAGCACCTTCACACTCCCTCAAAATGCACCACCCCTCCCTTCCCTTTGCTTCCATTCCCCTCAAATCGCTTCTATTCCCTTCCCCTCTTCTCCCTTCCCTTTCCTTCAATCGCTTCTCTTCTTTTGTCCTCCCTGCACTTCCCTTCCCCTATTCTCCCTTCTTTTGTCATCCCTGCACTTCCCTTCCCCTATTCTCCCTTCTTTTGTCCTCCCTGCACTTCCCTTCCCCTATTCTCCCTTCTTTTGTCCTCCCTGCACTTCCCTTCCCCTATTCTCCCTTCTTTTGTCCTCCCTGCACTTCCCTTCCCCTATTCTCCCTTCTTTTGTCCTCCCTGCACTTCCCTTCCTCCTTGCCTGCCTTCCCTTCCCTTTTCCCCTTCCTTACTTCATTCCTTTCCATTCTCTTCCCTTCCCTTCCATTCGCGCCTCTTCACCTCCCTGCCCTATCTTTTTTCTCCCTGCCTCCCACCTTTTCTCCCTGCCTCCCATTTTTTCTCCCTTACCCCCTTTTTTACTCCGTCCCTCCCCTTTTTTAACTCCGCATGTCCATGTGAGTGTGCTACCTCCTCTAGTCTCTTGCTATGTGCAGAACGAAGCCGTGCCTTCACAAGTTTGGTGGCGCGAGGGTGCAGCAGCGACGCAAGAGCACATAGAGGACATGAGGCACTAAGAGCAGAGGTGGCACACTGTTTTGTACATTGAGATATTTGTAAAAAGTACTAGTACGGTAGGTTTGTATTTTACATGGGGTAAAGAGTCCCAAAAACCTGCATAAAAGCACAAACATCTTCAATGCCATCATGATTGACTATCCTGTTTCCTTTTTTGAATGTATTTTCTGTTGTGAAAAGGCCCTCAGATATCAGGAATTTTCCCCTGAAATTCCTGATTTTCAGCCTTTTTTTTTTTTACCTACACTGATTTTCCAGACTTTCGATTTTTGTGACACTGATTTTTCAGCCTTTATTTCATAGTTGACACAGATTTTCCAGCCTTTTATCGAATGTGTACACTGCATGCAAATTCCCCATCCTTCCTGCAAAACACCCAAGATTCACAACTTTTTCGCTGGATCAGCGTATGACTACCGAAGTGGAATATCCAGGGTTCGAGACCCTTCGCTGCTGTGCTCCGTATACAATGTATTGATATGTCTAGGTATTTATGTGATAAATTAGGCTTTACTTTTTTGTAACCCTGAAAATTCAGGCTTCTTATTTCTAGGAGGGCTGTCAATCAGCCTTTTCTCTCGCATGGACACTGATGGATCAACGTACTTAAAAACGAATCTGAGGGCCTGGTTGTGAATATCTTGATTTGACGATTCTCGACATGGAGAGGGTCAACACTATCCTAGGTTCAACAAATTGTCATCTTGGGTGCTTCGTGCTCGACGACCTGCACCACTGAAGGGAGAGGGAAGGTGCGAATGAGCAGATAGGGGAGCATAGACAGACTGTAAGATAAAGAGTGGCATAGAGACAATGACGGTGAGAGAAAGAGCATGGGGAAAAGAAATGAGTGAGCAGGGGGGAACAAAGGGTAAGCAGGGGAAAAGAAAGAGAGAGCAGGGAGGGGAGAAATGACAGGGTGGGGGGGGGGAGGGAGGGGAGAAATGACAAGGAGGGGTGAGATGTTGAGGTGGGGAGAAATGACAAGGAGGGGAGAAATGGCTGACAGTGAGGGGAGAACTGACAGGGCGGGGAGACAGGGGGGATAGGACAGGGCGCAGACCAACGTGAGGCGACCCAGCCAAGAGCGCGGTCACCTCAGCTGGTCGTTGGTCACCTGACCTGGGCCTCTGAGGCAAGTGTAAGCAGTTCGTCATCAGGCCCCATTTCTCAGCTCAGACTTGCAACGAGGTGCCAAGGGCGGCCGGCACTCTCACTGCCTCCTGGCAGGGGAGGGCGAGTCGGGAGAGAAGGGGGGGAGAGGGGTAGGAAAGAAGGGTGGGGGAGAGGGGGGCAGCTTGAGAAGGGTGGGGGAGAGGGGGGCAGCTTGAGAAGGGTGGGGGAGAGGGGGGCAGCTTGAGAAGGGTGGGGGAGAGGGGGGCAGCTTGAGAAGGGTGGGGGAGAGGGGGGCAGCTTGAGAAGGGTGGGGGAGAGGGGGGCAGCTTGAGAAGGGTGGGGGAGAGGGGGGCAGCTTGAGAAGGGTGGGGGAGAGGGGTAGGGAGAGAACGGTGGGGGAGAGGGGTGGAGGGGAAGGTGGGGTAGAGAGGTGAGGGAGCAGAGTAGGGGAGACGGGTGGGGGGAGAGATGCGGATTATGAGAGAGGGGTCTAGGAGAGGCGTATGGGAGAGGGGTTGGGGAGAGAAGGGTGGTGGAGAGGGGTAACAGAAAATGGAGGAGAAAAACCTAACTTTTTGTTTCGTAGACCTCATCTTCCCCCTTTCCCCCTCCTCCCACTTCCCCTCCTCCCCATTTCCCCCTTCACCCACTTCCCCTCCTCCCCCTTCCCCTCTCACCCACCTTCTCCTCCTCCTTCCCTCCACCTCACTCATCCGCAGGCGCGGCCACTCGCACATGGCCTGCGCCAGCTTCCGCAGCACCATGCAGTCTGCCGGCATACGGTCCTCACACATTTGGGGGGAGGGGAGGAAGGAGAGGGGCGGAAAGGGCACGGTGAGAGGGCAAAAAGAGAAATGTTCTGAGTTGTCTCAAAATAAGCAAGGAGTCAGCGACCCATAGTGAGCTGGCAGATGACATCATCGGGGCAGCTTCTTGGAGGCGGGCTGGCGGAAGGTTGTCACCAAAAATCACAACCAGACCGAGGCCGCATAGGATGCAAGTGCAGGGAATGGGAAGGAAGGGGAGGTAGGTGCTAGAGCGGGAAAGCGGAAAGAGAGGGAAGGTTGGAAATAGATGGTGAGGGCAGACGGCGGAGTATGATAGAAAGAGGAAGGGGAGTTAGGCAGAGACGGGAGAAAGGGAGAGAGAAGGGTATGGCCAGAGTGGCGAGAGAGGGGAGTCAGGCAGCGTGGTGAATCTAGGAGAGAGGGGAAAGAGGGGAGAAGAGCGAGATGAGAGAATAGAGAGAGCAGAGCAGGCAGGGTGTGGAGTACGGGCGAGAGGTGAGAAAGGGACAAGGGAGAAGGGCTGATGGGGGGCACGGGAAAATGCATTGAGCAACGGAAAGAGGGGAGTACGGCCGAGCGAACAGTAAGAATGAATGTAGGAATATGACAGGGCAGAGAGGGGGGATATGACAGGGCAGAGAGGGGAGACGGGAGGGGAGGGGAGATATGACGATTGATTATGCGTGGGGGTCGCATGGAGTTATGTTGCGTAGGTTCCGCTCCTGGTAAGACAGGGAATGAGACTCGTGGCGCGACGGGAAGCATCTGCGCAGAAGTGCTAGGAAAAAAAGTGCTTCCCACCGTTGTCTCGCCGCGTGCCTCCGGATGTCGCGATTGGAGTGCTGGGTCAAGGCGCTCTGCGCGCTCGATCGAAGCGTTGTGCGAGCGCCCACCGCACGACGTGCAGCAGCGGACGCGACGTCGTGCGGGCGCGGGAGCTGGCGATGTGCAGGCGCGGAAGCTGTGTTGTGATAGCCTGTGTGTTGCGATGCGAATGCAATCTAGACTGTTGTCCGTACATGGAGGTGATATAGAATAGGGGAGGTAGATGCGCAGCGACGGGGAAGGCGCTGTGACGTCGAGGGGAGAGGCACCGTGACGGTTAAGGGAGAGGCACGGCGACGGTGACAGGAGGCGATGCGATGGCGAGTGGTGTCTGAGCATCCGACGGTGAGGAGAAAGGGGCGGCGAGGGCGACGGGAGTAGTGCTAAGACCGCTCAGACGCGTTGCTCACTGAGGGGCGTATGCGCTGTTCCAACGTAGGACATGCGCTGTTTCGAGTGGCGGGAGATGCACTGGTGGCGTGTGGGGCGGGATGCTGTCAGAGCGCAGAGAGAGAGCTTCTTCCGTCCGAGTGATATATCAACATGTTTACCTATAGGCGGTGTTCGCCAGGGACTTTGAAAACGATGGCATTTTGGCGGCATTGGCATGGTGACCGCATCCGGAACCGGGGTCGAAACCCGGTCAAGAGGTCTGGGCGTCATGCGGTCCGCGAAACTTCAATCCCCAAAACAGGAAATTTCACGACCGCATATGGAACCCCCAGCCCCACCTTCCTCAACTAGTGGCGCGAATTTTACGCGCCACTGACCAGTGCCAGACCGAGGGCCAAAAACTAACCAGGGTAACAAGCGCAATTAAAAAAAACCAAGTTCAAAAACAACGGAGTTGCGAACGATTTTGACCATGTGATGCGTGGGGGGCACATTGGAGGTGTGTTCGGGAGGGGAAAAATGGGGGGTATTCGAACCCCCCTTTGTCAAACAACAGGCTTGTTCAGAGGTTCCCCTCTGAACGGCAATGCGACGGCTGTGCCATCGCTGTGCTTCGAAAAATGCGGCATGGCGATGGCATGGCTTGGGGATGGAACTTTGCCTGGGGACGAAGTTGCGTCCCCGCTTCCA